GAGCATTGCCACCCGTTTAGACCATTGCCACCCGTATATAGCATTGTCACCCGTATAGAGCATTGTCACCCGTATAGACCATTGTCACTTGTATATAGCATTGTCACCCGTATATAGCATTATCATCCGTATTGTCACCTGTATTAAGCAGTACCACACGTTTAGACCATTGTTACCATTATATAACATAATCACCCGTATTGCCATCCGTATAGAGCATTGCCACCCGTTTAGACCATTGTCACCCGTATATAGCATTATCACCCGTATTGTCACCTGTATAGAGCATTGCCACCCGTTTAGACTATTGTCAACCGTATATGGCATAATAACCCGTATTGCCACCCGTATAGAGCATTGCCACCCGTTTAGGCCATTTTCACCCGTATATAGCATTATCATCCGTATTGTCACCTGTATAGAGCATAACCACACGTTCATACCATTGTCACCATTATTTAGCATAATCACCCGTATTTTCACCCGTATAGAGCATTGCCACCCGTTTAGACCATTGTCACCCGTATATAGCATTATCACCCGTATTGTCACCCGTATAGAGCATTATCACCCGTATTGTCACCCGTATAGAGCATTGCCACCCGTTTAGACAAAAAAAAAAAAACAAAAAAAAAACGTAAAATTATTTCATCCTTCAAAAAAGTTAAAAAGCTTTTTTTGTGACTACAATGACATAATGTTCCTTGCGATTATTAAAATTAATCAATTATGAAATTTCGTAAACTTAACTTAGGATGTCTCGGAAAACGATCAGCTTTTCAGATTGTATGTTATGAAACACGACTGACACGACTCCATTTTAAATTTAAACGTTAAAATAGAATGACTTACCAAATGGAGCGCTCTTTAAAACCGTGTGATTAAATGGACATAACTACAGTGTGATTATACGGACACAACTACCGTTTGATTATATGGACACAACTACAGTTTGATTATACGGACACAACAACAGTATGATTATATGGACACCACTGCAGTTTGGATATACGGACACTACAGTTTGATTATACGGACACATAACTACAGTGTGATTATACGGACACAACTACCGTTTAATTATATGGACACAACTACAGTTTGATTATACGGACACAACAACAGTATGATTATATGGACACCACTGCAGTTTGGTTATACGGACACTACAGTTTGATTATACGGACACATAACTACAGTGTGATTATACGGACACAACTACCGTTTGATTATATGGACACAACTACAGTTTTATTATACGGACACAACAACAGTATGATTATATGGACACTACTGCAGTTTGATTATACGGACACTACAGTTTGATTATACGGACACATAACTACAGTGTGATTATACGGACAGAACTACAGTGTGTTTATACAGACACAATTACAGTGAGATTATACGGACACAATTACAGTGTGATTATTCGGACACAATTAAAGTATGATTATATGGACACAATTACAGTGTGTCTAAATGGACGATTTAATGGACACAACTACAGTGTGATAAAACGAACACAACTACAGTTTGATTATACGGACACAACTTAATGGACACAAGTACAGTATGATTATATGGTCACAACTGCAGTGTGACCTTTGTCTAATCAAAATAAATTGACCTCTTTCTGGAAAGAGCAGATAGACTATAGATAATTAATATTTTGTGCCAATTTAACGTAAAGGAGTTATTGCCTATGAAGGTAATAAAACGACTCTGATTTTGTGTTATTCATTCCTTTATTCAAGTTGTAACATTTGTTGAAAATCTATTCAATGGTGAAATTCAATATGCATCAAACTACCTCAACGTTATTTAACCGTGTCTATACGGGTTTTAAACCGACCTTATTTTATGTTTTTTTACCGGTGTTTAATCATTTTACATGTTATATATATAGGCAAACGAATGTTTAGTATGAATCAATTTACTCATTTATATGTATAATAATCAAAAGTAAATATAAGGAGTTTATGTAAGCATCTTTATTGAAAATATTGCTTGTTCTAGTAATCATATATTGTATTGTTTGTCAAATCGAAAGTACATGTATATAATATATACATGCCTCTGTGTCATGTCCTACATAATAAACCTCTTCTAATAACGAACGCGTACACATACAGCGTATACGTTTACATCAACAGACATTTTCCAACGGGGTGTAAGGATGTCTTCATCAATCAAAGATCTAATTCAGTAGTACATGTAGTTACTACTTTCGATTTTAATTGAACATAAAAATGTATATTAATGAACGTTACATACCGTTATAGATGATTCTTCCATCAGCTGTAAGTAAATCTATGGCATAAATGTCGCTGACAATTGCCAGGACAATCAGTATAATTCCTCCAATTTCCATCTTACTTTCCACTTCGAAGCGTTCAAGGCAGTATAGGATGGTCGCTCAGCTCAGTTACTAAACGGGGTATATAACATGCTGGAGTGTAGAGGGCGCTATTAATGGGGAAAATAAATGTTAGGGTGTATTTACTTAAGCTACAAAGGTCAATCACGGGACCATGACTCACTTGTAATGTATAATGACTAAATAATAACATCTAAAGTGAAAGATGAAGTATTGGCTTCATTTTTTGATTTGTTTGACATTTAAAAGTTAACATTTTTTTATATCGCTGTAAAATAAAACGCAAGTTAATTTAGTATATTTCTAAATTTTCTTTTGCATATCTTTCTAATTTAAGTGCCACAACTGATTTTACGCTTATGGACCTCAGTTGAGTTCATTTAAGTAAAAACAAAAATCATATATTTGATCATAACATCATCATTCATGAACTGCACAAGTGATGTATGCATATTATGTTAACTCATTCAAGCTCATTTTATTTGTTTGAATTTATTCACTGGTTATGAAAATTGTCACGTAAAGTGGAAAGCAAATAAACAACTGATTTTTTTAATCAACTTAATCTGTTATCTCAGCGTGCAGATTTTTGTTTATGTAATAGTTATAGTAATATTATATAGGATATAAAACACTGGTTGGGGCGACATCGAAGGATGTTTTTGCTGAAAAAATGGCGAGGCAGTAAGGCCGAGACGATATTTTTGAAGAAGTATCCCGTGATGACACCCAGCCAGTATTATATCCCCGTTACTAACGAGTTTCATATATTATTATATATTTCAATTGTCATTCATAATTTGAATTGTTGGTAAGTCGGAAACGTGTATATATTTATTAAACAATATGGCATACGGAAATAACTCATTGAGTTTTGGATACGGAAAAGGATTTCCGTTTATTGTTGTTTACTATAAAAATTATATTATTATCTCCTAAGTTATACATGCATGTGTTTTACTTTCTGTTCATTAAATGCGTTCATATCCTCATATTATTATATATTTAACCATGAAATATCGATAAATATTTATGAAATATAAAATGCGTATTTTCATATTCTGTGGTTTCACTGTAAAAAAATTATGTTTTATTGTAGTGAATCATAATTTCCGTATTTTCACTGGTGTCTTGCCGGACTACTTTTTTTCTAAATTCAATCAATATACAAGATTTAAGGGGAAGTCTTTCAAACTGTTTTATAAAAAAAAATAGAAAAATGTATATAATAAACAGAAAATTCAAGATTTTTTCTATAACTATTTTCATCTTGTGGTATAGAATTATCATATTTTACTCGTGGCTACCGCCACTCATAAAATATTTATTTTCATACCCACCTTATTATTAGCTGTAAGGAAGCTAACGACATCATTAGCTTGTGTTGGGTTATTTGATCTGGGGTTTCCATTTGAAACATAAGTGAAAGGGCACAATTAAGGGAGAGAAGCGCACATTTTTTTTTTTTTTTTTTTTTTTTTTTTTGTTTGTTTGTTTGTTTTTTTGTTTTTTTTTTCTGATTTCTATTTTAAAAATGCGATAAAACAGTTATAATATATGAAACTCGTTACTTATGGGGGTAAACACTTGCTGAGATGATATCTCGGGATGTTTCTGCAAAAGAATCGTCTCGGCCTGACGGCCTCGACATTTTTTTACAAGAAACATCCCCTCGATGTTAACAAACTCGTTTCGTTTTGACACAATAACTATTACCTAAAACGGTACCCACTTTGTACATGGATAGATCACTCTCTGCTGAAAACAAATCGGCGACGGAAACCAATCCAGTGAATGTTCATGTCGGTATGTGGTGTGAAAAGCAAGTATACCATGGAACGCTAGAATGTTTTAAATATATCTTTCTTAGAAATGTGTTCATTTTTCAATTACCACAACTCTACAATAAGCTACACAATATTGCGATATTTGCAACGCCCACAGCCTCAGCATGCTCTGTGGGCTAAAATGAACGAGTGATTTGATTAAGTACACACCATACATATTACTAGCATATGATTCCATTTTTATATAATCTTCAAACAAATGGCTAAATAGTCAAAAATGTATTCGAAATTCGTTATTGACTCTCTACTTTTGCAGCGGCACGGGTTACCTCTTTTCTGTCACTGGTACCCTCTTAGCTCGGTATACGTATAGATTAGCATGATAATAAGCAATGTTATTCTCTTTGATGTTATATACTAGTACTGCGTAAACTTTCTATTGCATACTCTTCTTCAGTCTCAACAACGCCAAATACGATAAAATAAATAATTAAAATTAAAATTGATTACTTAATTAATGAAGTGCTAAGAGGGTCCATTGTTAAACTAATCTGCTGTTCTGCAGATGTGTAGCAATAGGCGAAAATCCGAAAACACGAAGACAAAAACGCGAAAGGAAGTTTTCGCGTTTTTGTCATCGTCCCTTTTTGTTTTAGTCTTTTCGCATTTTTCATCCTTTCGTGTTTTCGCGTTTTCGTCTGAGACCCTTCTTGATTTCGTCAGCGTCTATTCGTGTTTTCAATTTTTCGTGTTTTCAACTTTTCGTGTTTTAAATTTCTTTTGGCCCTAAATGAACACCGTAGATGGCCCTAAAAGGACAAAGAACAAAGGTATTCTGCAATATTTTGTTTTATTTAAGCAGCATAAATTTAGTTACGCAAACACCAAATAGACATGTCTTAAATAATTCATGCATGTATATTTTCTTTACAGAAGCTGTTTTTTTAATGTTTGTTTTTTAACGAGAATACTATTTTAATGTCGGTTTTAAAAGTTAGACAGTTCCATTTTGAAATATTTCATCGAATACCCAAAACCATGCCAGTCTTTGTAGTAAATGCCGTCATAAAACTTTCCCGACGGCTTGTAGTAGCATCCGGCGTAGTAATGCCCCGTCGGGAGTGTAAGTGTACAATGGTTGTACCACCATCCACCTTTCTGGTAAATAGCACAACTGTGAACATCCGGACGGTCCATGGTGGAGAATGGCATGCCGTTGTTGTAGCCGAAGTCGTCGGGAAGAACATGGCTAGAGACGTAACCACCAATATGGAGTGGGTAACGTTGATGTGCCGGACCGAGAAAGAAGTAGTTATAACGGAGAACTTTGATCTGGTAATCACAGTCCTGCATCGTAACAGTTAGGACACGATAGCCTGTAAAATAGTATGTGCTCAATTTTAGGTAAAAAGGTGTTTTTATCAAAAATATAAGTATTCGATAAAAAGAATACGAGTATTGGCCGAAAACTTTCAGTTGAAAACGTTTAAGTAAGCTAAAAGATATTCGTTTTCATGTATTACGGTGAATAAATTAGGATGCCAACACCTTATCCTTATAATTATTTTATTAAGCCTTCATTGTGATTACTGTTAATTTTTCAAAGCAGAGATGAAATTACCATTGTCTGTGAGTGTCTTTATTCTTGCCAGACCTAACCAGAAGTCACCAAGCGCTTGATTCCCGAACCCGATAACATAATCACGAAAATAGCGCTTAAATGAAATGTGGCCATATTTCTGCTGCATGATGGGTACAACGGTTCTCCCAGCAGCAAAGTCACAATGCACCTTCAAGAAGATAAAAAGGAAATATTTAAAAACTAATTTTATAAATAATCGTACAATATCGTTCATAGGATTTTGATGTCGTAATAACAGATTACGATGGAAGTTAATAGTCTACACAAACCACACAAAATACACAACGATAATTAATATATTTCAACATGCAAACAATAGGGCCTAAATAGAGGATATGTCCCAGTTTTTTTTTTCTATGAATACATGATTTATTTTCATCGAGTGGTATGAAAATAAATATAGCATTGTGGCGGTAACCACGAGTGAAATGTGATAATTTTCATACCAGAAGATGAAAATAAATCCTGACTGTGTTTATGGAAAAAAACTGAAAGTTTCTGTTTATTACGCTCGTATATACATTTTTTTTCTCTTTGAAAACATTTCGATTTGAAAGAATGCCCTTATTTTTTTTGTATTGGCTGAATTTAGAAGTAAGTAGTCGGCAAGGCACCAGTGAAAGTAAGGAAAATATGTTTCACTGCAGTGAAAAGTAAATTTTTACAGTGGAAATAGGGAAAATAAAAATACGCATAAGCATGTTATTTCATCAATACGTGTAATTCTCAACATTTTATTAATAACTATAAATTAAGATTTTGTTTCGAAAACTTGAATATTTGTTTAATAAAACATGAAAACATTTTTATTTATCATATACTCTTTCTTTTAGAAATCCCAGAAATTAGAAATTTTCAATTCCCAGCTTATCATTTATCAATGATATTCATTTTATATCAGAATGTTCATACCTGAAATGGTTCTGTACTGTTTAGAAAGACATTGTAGCTGCCCGAGACGTTATAATAGCCGCTCCGGAACACATCGTCACAGCCTGGTAAATAATAATACTATTATTGAAAAAAAGAAGAAAAGTAGCAATCCACATTTCTTCATTTCGGTATTCTGGCTTCAATTTTCGGCTCTTTCCGTCAGTGATTAATTTTAGTATTATAACATACAATTAACATAAAAAAAGAAGACTTACTATTATATCTCGTTTTGTCGTCTGCATTTCTGATCTTCTTTCCATAAACAACATAGACGAGAAACAATATGCTTAAAAACTGCACGCGCATTTTGACTGTAATCAAAGTAACTGCTGGATCCGTGTTTCTGAAGTGAGTTGAGCGCGTGTTGCTTTCATTTATAACTTGTTATATTATGTTTCATGTATATATACATATTGTTTGATTTCCGAAATAAATTAACTGAAACAATTAATAAAGATAGACATCCTTTCATTGTGAGCACGTGATGTAAACAATATACATTGTATAAAAAATTTGTGAACATCATCAATTTTTATTTCAGGTTTTACACTATGTACAATAAGTAGGATGAGTTGTTATTTGAAATAAACTTTAACGGAACTAGTTAAAAAATAGTTTTATAAAAGTTGATTTGCCTATGGAAACAATATCATGATATTGGCACATATATTAAGAGAACAAATGTTTTTTTTTTTTATTATTATTCATGCGACAGATAGGACATCATCATGACGATCTCTACGTTCCCTGCGTGTAATTGAAGACACTTCCGTAATTTTTTTGCTCTATAACTCTTTAGTTCTACAAATGATACTACTTTGTACATGTAGTTGTTTTCCCGTTTGAAACAAACTTACTTAAATTTTCTAGAATGTCATTTGTTCAACTTCTTATGTCCTTATTAACATCATTTTTGTTTTTGTTTTCTTTGCTTTTGTCACGTAACCACATAATTATTGTAACGAGATTATTGTAATGTAGAAGTTATTCTGAACCGTATAGAAATACATGTTCACGTGACGCAGACTCCACAACAATTGATGATCCGTAAATAATAATATTATCGCAAATTTATCATGGGTCATTTAATAGACACAATTAAAAAAAAACAATTTTGTCAGTAAAGTGCAAACTTTCAAAGTTTCTATTGAACATGCATTGTTTACTTCTCGGTATGTCAAATGTATACATACGTGATTAGTCGTTGTAAGCTAGTCACTGATTGGCTCGATTTCCCTCTCATACATTTTTAGCAGAACGGATCGATTCGCAGGAGAGAAGATGATCTCATAAAAGTTGAACTCACCTCTATCTTTTGAAAGAAAAAAATGTTCGACGTTTCATTTTTCTCGCCTCAAATTATGTTATGATATTTTAAATAAAGCAAGTCATATATAAGAAAATGGCATACAATAATTTATTATGTGACTGAAATTCAACGCGTGATGATGCAATATTTATATTGATGATGCAATATAATATTGTTGCTTTTTGTATATTTGAAGAAATTGCTATCTTTGTATTTATATATGCTCAAAAAAGTCTTCCACTGTCCAGGGTACTTACACACTTTTCTTATGAACTTTATTAGCGAAAAATGAATCGCATCAACAAAAAAAAAACAACAAAAAAAAACAGGCCATTTACTTATATAAAACGCATTTTTAACACTTAAAATATGATACTTATCTGGATCGAGTCGTTGATGTATGTTTACAGATATATCTAAAAATAAACTTTATCAAAATTGAAACAATTAACCTAGAGTAGAAGTCGACGAATCTGTCAGCCATCTTTCTAAAAATAACATCCTCAAAACATAATATTTCAAATGGAAGGATTGTGAATTGATGAAATTAGGGTGTAGTGTTAAACAATTCAGGGCGGTTCTTATTTTTTTCAAATCTGTAGTGGAATATAAAACCACTCTGTTGTAGTACCGGATTTATTCAGCCGATGTTTTGATTTCTGAGTAAAAAAATACAGGAGCCTAGCCCCTCATTGTCAAGAAATAGTAGATAAGGACATACTAAACACATCTTTATTTACGATGCTTCCATTTTCATGTTTTCATGATATATATTTTCTCTCTCACAAGTTGAACTTTTTAGACAATGATTGAACGCGCTAACGTTATTTTTGTTGTATATAACCAACGTAACATTTACTCTTGCATCTCATGTATTCTTAGATTGCTTGTTTACTTTAATATAATTGGTGAAATACAAAAGTAATATGAAAAAGAAAATATAAATATAATTTGTGCAAAGAAAACCGTTATCATATAATATTAATAATTTCTAGTGTGTGTATACATGTACTTTTCATGTAACAAATTTTAGAATCTCTTATGTCGATATCCTTAATAACAACGGACTCAATACAATATTAAATATGATCGGATTTTTATTTCTTTTGCTTCACGTCAGAGGAAATCTCCTAAACGAGACGCATGACCGGAAAACCAAACATTGAATTAATGATAGCCTTATATTTGAGTATAATTATGAAGCTATTTTCTGTTTAATATCAACATACAGTTAGTATAGTGTTTCTAGAAGTAGTTATCTCAGCTAAATCTGAAGCTAAAGGTCATCATATCATGATTTGATAATTCAATTCCAATCATACCTATCGTGAAATCCGTGCAAATTACAGCAAAAAACAACTAACTAGCCACTTCTTATATCTATATATAACGTATTTTTGACGAAAATAAATTCTCGGATGGTGCGAGATTTTTTTCTCTCTCTCCCGATCGTTTATAAAGAAGTGGCAACAGTTTGTGAACTGTGGTCATACGGTCCGGGTGCAGGAACATTTCACACAGCAACAAGACGCTCTACTTATTAAGGCAAAAATGAGGATCTGTGACGAAAAAGTCGTTCTGCTACTGGTTGTTTTCATGCACACTGTCACCGGTATGTTGTTTATTTTATTTTATTTAATGCCATTAAAAAGAAATTATTTTTTAATGTTGTATTTTATAATTAATTCTAAAAATTACAGAATGTATTTTATATTTTTGACATAACCAAAATGTTTTATTAATGATATTATTGAACATATCTGATTTATAATACTTAATTTATTATACAAAAATACTCGTAACTTTTACGTTTATTTCAAATCGCGTTTTTTTTTTTAATTTTCTTTTATTTAGTTTTGCAGTGTTAAGCTTATTAAGACTTAAATCTTTTTTACTTTCTGAAAAAAGGTAAAAACCAACAAATGTCCTTTTCAAATATTAATCTATAATTATATTTTTAAAAGTATTTTTGCGAAAATTTTCAAAGTAAACAAATAAAATAAAGTTTCAAACAGAATACTCGTTTATTCAAAATGATTTTAAAAAAAATTAAACGGAATTAAAAACAACAACAACAAAAAATTTCATTTTTCGCATTTTGAAGAACAAACCATTTTAAATATTTATATTTCAGTTGTAAGAAATTTTACAATAGTTTTACAATATTTGCGACAGTTTAAAGTAAAGAATTCGGCAAGAATTTAAAACTCGATAATTTTTAAAATGTTTGATATCAAAAAAGGTATACTAAATATTCCAGGCTCTCAATATATAGCAAGACTCTAAGACATGTTTCCATAATCAAAGCTTGTTTTTAAAATCTAGCGTTCTTTAAGTTAAACAAGTATTTTATACTTTTTATTTCCCAAACTTTGCCTTAATATTTTTTGCATTGTCTTTTTTTTTTCATATCATAATATTTTAAAATATACAAAACGTTAAACTTAATATGCCTATAATAAATTTCATATGAAATGTTGAATGTTAAGAACAACCCCTTTTTTAATACGTAAAATCAAAAATATGATTTTGATGTATTTGTACTTTTATTTGTATTTGATTGAAATATAAAGTTTTGTCAGGGTTAACTTAAGTGGTAAATCTACAACGTGAAACGCCCCAGAAAATAATTTATTAATTACTTAAAAAGGACACTATTCCATTTTAACGTTCAAAGTACCAAAGTGTTTTGCATGGAACATTAATGGGAAGAAATCATATTGTTTTGAAAGACAACATTTCTTGTAAAATGTATTAAAAACTTTTGTTTCTTCGGTCTGATAAAACCATTATACTGCCATTATATAATGAAAGAAGGAAGACGTTAATGTAAGGTATAATAATAATATGTTAATAATATGTTAATTACGACAAAAAGGAGCAAATTTAGATCTTAAATTTTGATTGACCATTTCCAGAGAAGTTTGTTTTCATGTTCGCCCATTTTAGGAAACACAATGCGGGTTGATTTAGAAATAAAAACACACTTTGAAATTAAAGTTTTGACTTTCATAAATTATATGTCGTTGGAAATGATTAGTAGAGTAATATTTATTATACACTTATAAATGAAATATTGAGAAATAAAATGCGTATTTTCATTTTCCGTATTTTCACTGTAAAAAATTAGTTTTCACTGCACTGAAACGTATTTTCCGTATTTTCACTGGTGTCTTGCCGGACTACTTTTTTTTATTAAATTTATCCAATACACAAATTTTAAAGGGGAGTTTTTAAATTGTAATGTCAAAAAAAGTATATAGTAAACAGAAAATTCAAGTTTTTTTCCCTATAAATACAGGATTTACTTATGAAAATTATCATACCATTCAATGAAAATAAATCCTGTATTTATAGAAAAAACTTGAACATCTTCTATATATTTGTAAAACTTTGATAAAAATGACATGTTTAGATTTCAAAGAATGAGATTTGTAATAACAAGCAAAACACCTAAATAGACGTGTAATTCCGTAGTACTATATTTTTTCTGCATTTTCATAAAATTTTTAAACATATTTTCAAAGTAAAACATAGGATAATATACTTATGTTGTTGTTTTTTTTCATCAATAATCATATATATAATTTTTTGATCATTAAGTACACATTTATTTGATTTTATTAAATACTTTGTACGTTATTTTGATAAAGACAACTGTCGAAACTAGTAAAGATTAAAGAAATATGTGTTGTTTTGGTGTACTTTAACTGATTTTATTTTTATATAATTTTCAAAAATTATTTTCCTTTTTTTTTCTCGAAATTTGACCATTGACCAATTTATTCGGTATCAAAACATTTATGATTAAAGTACTAGAACCAACAATGACTTGTCCGGTGTCACCGGTATAGAGCCATGTTATTCTGTATGTCCGTGCATTCCCATCAATATATTTTATTTGTGGACTGCTTGATTTTATTATTTTGATATTGAAATCTGCACAAACTCGTAGCTTGCATTTACAAACTTAAAGCAGGACAAGATCTTTCATTTAAATTAAGCATTGTAGTTTTTGAAGTTCACCCAATGCGTTACAGCAACAAGCCAGTTAGAATTTGCCAAAGCGCATAGTTCCTGGGAAGGCTGTCAAGCACTTTATCAGGACTTTTGAAAGAAACTGTTAGTTACTTTTAGCAAAGGTACAGTGCGAATGACCGTTGAAAGGATTTCATGAAAATGACATTCATTGTCCGGGCGCTCGATTCGCAGTCCGACCCTCTACCAGTTGAGCTAACCGGACAGTTAGGGTTTCAAAGCTCTTGGTATTAAATTGCTTAATATTTCAATGTTTCTCTAAAATATAGATAATAAAAAGAATTAAAAATTAAGAAATGACAAAATAAAATAAAAAGTGTAAGGAATGCTGGAAAGTCAATTACTATACGTAGAATCATAATTAATTATTAGTACCACGTTTTCTGTATTTTCAAATCACATAGCTAAGGATTTAATGGACAAAATCGGTCGATGATCTTAGAACAATCCCGTAACATATTCAAAATAGAACGTATTTTTGATAACATAGGTAATATTTAGTAACAAAAAGTTATTTTTACATCAACCTTTTACTAGGATAGGGGAATAATCTAAAGTTACTACCGTGTGAGAAGATAAGAAATTCTCTACAAATTTGTAACATTTTTTATGAATCGGAATACTTCCGTTATCATCTTACAAGAATTCCTCAAGGTTATCTGGGAAAATCGGAAAGGTGAATGGGTTGGCATATTTCCGTTAAATAGGGCCAATTTATTGTCTGGCGAATTGTAACTATTCGATTTATTTACGGTTTATATGAACTATATGAGTCAGTTATTTTCTCGGGATGAGTTATATATTATAAGTGTTTGTATTATACATCTGCTCTGTGTATTATAATAAAAATTGCTCTCATTTCTTGTGGCATTTTTACAAAAAAAAATCAGAAATGTTTGAAATAATAACTGATGATTCGTTACTTATAAAACAAAATTGCATTAGATTTCTACAAGTTAAATGTTGATGCTGCACATCAAAGACACCGCCAAATGATGTGAACAGTCACAGGTAATATACAAAATCAACCTTGACAATTGTTCTCAATAAAAGTTGAATATCCAAAGCACTAATAAATTTTTCTATCTGCTTTTTGTTTAACAACTTACATATTTTTGCGAAAAAGTAGAAACTAATGCATAAATTCACTAAGTAATTCCATGTCTGAAATTCTAAAATGTTTGTTTGTTACGACAAAGATTGAAACGTCTGGTCGAAGCTAAATAAATTGGATAACAAGTAAAAATGAAATGATTGGTATACTTAAAATAAATTCAAGACAAAGACAGAGGTATGAAAGGAAAATATCTCCTTTGTGTCGAGAATATGTCCATTTTGCAGGCATATATAATATATAATATATAATCCTTCAAAACATTAAAAATATATGAAAAATATTCCTATTGAGTTTTAAAACTAACTTCCACAATGATTATATATTCAATATATAGAATAAATTTTAGTTTGATAATTGCAATTTATAAACATTCATTGTGCTTTTTATACAAAAATATCTCCGTTGCACTGAGATCCCGAGTAAGTCAACTTTGTAGGCATGTACAACTGTCCAAAACATTAAAATAAAAAAAATCTGTTGAAATTTACAACAACCTTTTATGTTGATACTGCATTTAATATATATAATTTATTTTAGTTTGATAATTGTTATTTATAACCATTGTTCTTTTACAGAAAACTATCTCCGTTGCACCGAGAATATGTACATTTTGCGGCCATTTTTTCCACCATAGAATCCTTCAAAACAACATATTGCCAATATTTGTGAAACATTTAAAAAAATTTTTTTACCTTTTTACACTCAGTTAATCTGTTTAATTACTGTTAATTATTCATTTTCACGACTAAACAGTCGTTGTGCCTGTTTTGAAAAAAGTCCGTTCGTTCCGCACCTTGCGACAAAAAAATCTCCTGTGTGTATTTTAGTCATACCCTTGGTTCCCTGTCCAAATTTGGTTCCCGTCATTAGAATATAGACTGGCTCATTGACACGTCATTTATTTGGTAAATGAAAATTAAGATACAAATAAAAAGAATATGATATTCAAACATGACACTATCACCTAAGCTAAACATTTGTTTAATTCCTTTAAGCTTGGTGATATGTTGTACACCAGAAAGCTATTTTTATTAAAGAATCTGAAAACAGTGTAATTTTGTTAAAACAAAAAGAAAATAAACAATAGCAAGACTTAATTTTTCTAACTTCTGAATGGACGAATGCATATCTACTAGCCGCCGCGTGGACGCGGCGTCTTATAAAATTAGAACGTGATTAATTTGTTTTAAGCTGCATGTAACCGGTGTTACGGTACTCGAAAAGCTGGAACAAAATAACTTTTATAGCACTGTCCAGTTAGCGATCCGGGTTCGATTCCCGGACGGTGCAGGTGACTGTCTTCATAAAATCCTTTCAACGATCATTTGCACTGTAACTCTGCTCTGGCATGTACAGAAGTCATCAGTTCCTCAATAGGGAAAGTGAAGGCAACTGCTTGTCAGTTGACAGCCTGCCCAGGAACGATGCGGTGGCTGAACTGTGTTCTGGTAAATTCAGTGTGGCCTACTGCCGTGATCCAGAGTGAAATCTACCAACACCATTACCACGTCTGTCTTTTATTGTATGCTTTTAAATTTTATTGACAGGATATACGTTTAACCTGTGTGAATACTTTATCAACGGTGGATGGTGCAGTAACGAATGCAGATATGAGGCTCACCATGCCTGGGGTATACCATTATGTATGCACAGCGGTGCCAGTGGGCCTAAATGCTGTATCCCAGTAAACCATAGTAAGATAATTGATCTTCTTTATTGAAACTTGTGTTTGTTTTGTTTTTATAGCATCGGATTTTTAATCGGGGGGGGGGGGGCGCTAATTCGATCATCGGGCCAAGCGGAATATCTCCGTGTCACGTGACCTCGAACTTTGAGTCTAATGGTCATTTGACAGTGATTTAAAATGATGTGGGATGAGTAGTGGTCACTAAACTTAACTCAACCAGAAAGAATAGTACAATTCTTTAAACTAACTTTTCCCTATTATGACGCGACTCTATCACAACAAACAACCTGTGTTCCAAGCCAGGTTCGGACGATTATATCATAATGGTTATATTGGGGAATTAATTATTCGTCTAATTGGCAATAAATGTCCTATTGAAATAGAAAGATCAGCGTTTCTATTGGCTTTCTACCAATTGCTTAAACTGTATTGAACAAGGTCTTCTTTTAAATTTTGTCGAGGACTTAGTGTAAGATATATATTATACGTTCTTGATTTTGTTCATACTATAACATTATGAAGTTTTGTGTGCTACATTTAACGAACATTTCAATCCGTGCTGTGTCCAGAACATTTTCTGGGAAAAAGGAACACTCGTTTCAAATTCTGTCTTGAATTTTAGTTGGTCAAAATCAATGTTACGTTACACGTATAGTTTATCCAAGCAAAAAGATCTTGTAAATCTCGTACTTCTTTTAAAACAAAGTGATATTTTCAGGACTTATCGAAACCAGGGATCCGACAACTACAGTACAACCGACAACCATTGCAACCACATTGCCACGATTAGAACAGGAAGTATCGTGTGGTCGCGCGAGATCTCTTTCACGTGTTCGGCGTGTAATTGGTGGAAATCACGCGCCATCTGGTACCTGGCCATGGCAGCTCCTTAAAATTTTAACTGGGGCAATTATATGCGGGGGGGAACTCAATTATTCAACAGCTTGGGGCTGACAGAGCACTTGACAACCGAAGTACTGGTCAAAGTATTTCCTTATTACTTATTTTTAGGGAGTGGGGGTTCGTCGCACCAACACAGTAAAGGCCATGTGGCGACTTCCGAGGAAGACTTCATTTGCTCCTCCGTGTATTATTTCAGGTACGAATCGGAACCTCAGGAGAAACACCGAAGTTCTGTAAGGAAATTGGATAGCTTCCTCACATTAAAAAATCCAAAGTCTCTGACGGGATTTGAACCTACAGCGGTGAGGGGCAAATGGTTTGAAATCAGCGACATTTATCACTCGGCCTCGGACGTTCATATTTTCCTTGATAAAGAGAATTAGCTCGTTTTCGTAGTGTGGTCTATGAATTATATACTTTACGATTGTGACGAAAAGGCCATTTGGTATTAACATATACTATATCTTTGTATGAAAATTGTGGACGGTTGTTTGCATTTTATGATAATGTTATAAAACTTTCACGTTTTGGACAACCGTTTACAACTCCTTTATAATTCCTGTGATTAAAATACTTACGAGTATGTCTTAATTCAATTGCAGTCTTTTATCTACAAAATTTATGATGTCTGTTTTTATGTATATTTTTTTTCAAGGGACGACGATTTAAACCTGTTGAGGGTGTACGTTGGGGATCAAACATTATCGTACGGACGTCATGGAAGAGAAAACTCCAAAACTATCCGTAGAATAATACGCGTAAGTATGAAATTAGTTTAACCTGACGTGTTAGCCTTTTTAAAATTTATTTATGAAACTTGGTGTATAAACAACTTACTAAATGCAGGCTTTATCCAAAACAACGAAAATGAGATACACGTTATGGCACAAAAAAAAAAAGCGGGGTTTTTAAAATATACTCACTTTTTACTGTTCCAATTTCTTTAAACTTTATCTTAAATATGATAACAGAAATATAATAAAAAACAAATAAGTAAAAAAAATTAAGTAAAAATAAATAAATAAATAAATAAAAAAGAATTTATAAAAAGATAGGTCACTGATTCACTTATGAATATTCAAAGTGAACCTAGTATCGGAATGGTCATGAAGTTATAACTCATTCGAAGTTCATTTACGATACTGTAGCCTAAACGAATTATTTCCCTTAGTTTTATAGCTGAACTTACAAAGGAAAAACATTGTGTTTTTTGTTGTACCTATGGCATTTGTCATGGCTTTTTTGCAGTATTTTAAATATTTCAGAATGTTTCTAATTTTGCGCTCTCTTCACTTGTTGAACCGGCCCGCCCGCTTAGCTCAAAAGGTAGGGAGTCGCTTGCGAGGCGAACTTTCTCCGTGATCAAGGGCATTGAGTCCAATGGTCATTATCAGAAATCAGGAATGAGTGGTCAGTCACTTTCGGAGAAATTTGTAATTAATTGTTATCCAGGAAAGCCGGTAAGGTGGAATGACCGCCAAGATACGATCTAAAATATGATAAGATCGGCGTGAAAACCATTCCAACAAGACGTTCAACGTCTTGGACCACTGGAAATATACGGGTATTGATACTATATTGTTTTTTTCAGCATGAAAACTTTGAACAGAACGTGGAGTTTCCGGTAACAAATCCACAAACCGGAGAAGCAAGTGTAATTAGACGCCATTTGCACGACATTGCTTTGATACAACTGAACGACAGCCTTGTTTATTCCGACAATCTCCGCGCTGTGTGCCTTCCGGAAATCACCGAAGCAGACGACACTGTTTTTGATGATTGTTGGGTTGCTGGATGGGGACAAAATCATGGTAGAGAATTGATTATATATGTTTAATGTTTAATTAGTTTCTGTACAGCCAGAGACTTGTTTTCAAACGGCCATCTTGCGACTTATCAATTACTAACAACGATATAAACGTTGTTCTTTGTTTATAACGATTTTTACAAAAATACAAAGATGAGTTCTGAAGTTCTTATTTTTCTAAATTAAACTTCATTGTTGTTTACAAACCATTTGACTCGTACATTTATGCCATTATTGCAACCTTTTTAAAGAGAGTTCGTATAATAAAAAATGCGCCGTTATTTTTTTTTAATTTATAACTTCTTAATATATCATCTGACTGATTACATATACCGGATATTAACTTATGTTTACTTATATTATAAAAACCATGCATCGTTCCGTTACCCGTATTTTATATATCATTTTTGAATATCATCGCCGGAAACCTAGTGATATATTCCATTTGTTGACGATTGTTAAATGGACGCGTTCATGTGACTTTAACACGACTGACCCTAACTGCTGATTTATTTTACAGAAAATACCTTAGGGTCGACAGACACACTGTATGAAGTCCAAGGACAATCGTTAAACAACCAGCAGTGTGGCCTCCAGTGGGGAGCAAACTTTGAAGACGATGTCGTCTGCTTCAGCAGTCAGGGACGTGGACCTTGCCAGGTATAAACATTTATTAAAATATCAAATTTGTAAATTGCTTAACCCATTATTGCATGAGCATATTGTAAAAATGGCTTATTCATTGAAAAGATTCCTGTTGCAAGTTCAAACAATTATGAAACTGTATAAAATGCTTCAATACTGATCAAACTTGTCGCAAATGTTGACTAGACCATAGCCTTTATAACAACATGCTCAATCCTAAATTTCATGTAACCATGGATACGGGGGCCATCTCAAAATTGCCAAAAATCACTATTTTGTTTTGATATTTTCCATTAAAACTGATTTCAAACTGCCGCTACTTCTCAATGGATTGAGATAGGGCCAAAGACTTTTCAGCGTTTGTTACACGTTACATTAAGATCGACCATTAGCCATATTTAGCCATTCACAAGTACAAAATTTGTTTGGAGATGATGGGGGCTGCTGAGCCCCTTCACACCCCAAAGCAGAAGGGTGCACATCTGGCACCCCTTTGAGAGTCGTCAAAACACGTCTGTATGAGGTTAAAGGTTAAAGTACAAGTATCTATTTATTGTCCTTGCTGGAAGATGACCTCCGATTTTGAATGAATAAATGAATGAATGAATGAATAAATGAATGAATGAATGAACGAACGAAAAATATGTATACATATTAAGATATTTAGATAAGTTTTAATTTATATGACAGGGAGATTCAGGCGGTGGTATGGTGTGTCGGGGGAGTGACGGCAGATACCGAATTAATGGTATCATATCATGGGGTAGAGAAGACTGTATTCATGACGACCATCCGAGTGTTTTAACAAAAGTTTCATCATATCGGGAGTGGATTAATATACATGTACAATAAAAATACCGGTTATGTTGTTGTTGAAGTGCACGAGGAAGGAGACAGTACGTGTTGGTCGATTCAATTGTACGAAAAGAAACAATAGAACAGAACTAGATCTTTATAATATCTTTAAACTTTGTACAAGAATGACCTGCGCTTCAAGCGTGATCTTGATCATAAAAAGATTCTTCTTCTCCAAACTGCTTTGTTAAAAAAATTCACACGTTAACAAATTTTACATCTGTACATTTTTCAATGTAGATTTCATCCAAAATTTATTTGATAAAGTCTTACAATAACTCCGCTGACTTCAAACTGGATGCTTACAATATTTATTTGTAGACTTTTACATACTTTTCGGAGAAAAGGCCTTTACTTCCGTTACATATTATTTTTACCGGAAGCTTCCGTTGCTCTGGATCTCGGCTGTTATTCATATTCCGAAGTTTGACGGAAAGGGCCGAGATCCGGATCCGTCAACATACAATAAGTTTGACTTTCGGAACATTTTTCAAATTTATTCGCTGGAACTCACTTGTTTATTTGACCCTCTTTTCAAGCTCGTTACTGTATGTTATAAAAGCTAACACTGTTAAACATTGAAGCAGTAAAACAATTGTGTAAACGAACGTTTCATAAAAATATAATCAGAATCGTTTTAGTTTGTTAATTAACAAAGTAACAAATCATATCACAGCAAATTCGACGACCCTCTTTCGGCGGAGGGAAATAATTAAAAGGATTGTTTTAAATGTGTTAATCAGAAAGGATCTTATTATCTTACTCTTCAATTATTATCTTAGTTAAAGGTTTTGTAAATTTAGAAAATGCCTTTGTCAGCATCGGTTCTATAAAAAAAAACATCACTGTTAAACTGACCCAAAATAAATCTTATTGTACAAATATTATAGTCATGTATCTATGTATACATGCATGTTTTCAGTATTTTTTATCTGTAAAGTTACACTAAATAAACATCTGAATTCTGACATTTTTATGTTGATTTATATTCACATGACAACAACGTGACGTGCCTGGTAACTGATATCGTCGTCACGTTATCGAACAAATATCATAAAAATACTTTCTAATTGTCATTATTTTATAAGCCTTTTAAGAACTTCATAAACTTGGGCGTTCCTTTCGATTGGTTTAAAGGTCGCCAACAAGACACACCAAATTTACTAGCATCTTTATTTAAAAAACCACGCATTTTAAAACCATATTTTTTTCCTCGCCCGTGGGTGGTTCTAACCCCAGTTTCCGCCGTCCCTAGAAATAAAGGGGCACCTGAGGACTTCCACCACCAGTCAAGCTGGAAAGTCGCCATATGACAATTGCAGTATCAGAGTGAAAACTTCATTATCATTTTCAAGCTCATATCTTGATATTGTGACCTAACAATATAGTTTAAATTAAAACATAAAGCATCAATTTAAGCGTTATCTATTTTCAGCCAATGGAATTGCTCGATGGTAGTTAAAGTTATTGTCCTTTATTATATAGAATTTTTGTTGCTTACAGTTTTAGCGGTTTATGAAGCTCCCTTGCTACTGTACCATATGCTTTTACATAAATTATTTGTTGATACTCCGGGCAAAAATAAAGGCCCAAGCAATTTAGAATATATGACTTACTGACCGGAAGACGCACATAAAAGGGTCCGGTCAGCTCAATAGGTAGAGCGTTGGGATTCGATTCCCGGACGGTGCAGGTCACTTTCGTCATGACTGATCATGAAATGCTTTCTACGGTCATTCGCACTGTACCACAGAACGCTGGGGGTCAGATCCTGCCCCCCCCCCCCTGTGATACGCCCCTGTTAACACTTCTACCAAAACTATTTTAATATTTAAACACGGAATTGTACATCTGTTACAACGATAAAAATGGTTTTCAAACAATTTTAACGTATATGAAAAAAATACCGTATACCATCAAGTCTCAATAAAGTAAAGATTGCAGACTCCAAAATGTAAAACACGATCACCCTTGTATAATAAAAACCTTTATAAATCATTATTAAATGAACCTTACCGTGACTTTTTCCGGTGTAAATCAATAGAAAAATAGAATTATCTCCTAGATGCAATCAGAATAAACATTTCTACATCTCATTGTAATATGAAAATCAACATTTAATTAAAACCGAAAGTAAATTTTGCGTTCTGTCCAACCAATACGAGACCTGAGCCCGGCTCTGCGTGGAGCGCTTGTCAAGCCGGTATCCAAAACGGTGTACATACTTTCGACTAGATATCTACTCGAGCATTATACTCCTCATGTCCAAATTCAAAATATTTAAATTGTGCATTTATAGAATCAAAATAAAACTTGGGAAACAACACACTGTGCATCTTGGTAATATTTTTATTACAAATAAATTTGTCTTTTAAAGGAGTGTTTTTTGCAGACAGCTAATACGCGGGACACGAAGGATATAATGCCTCGAGTAGATATCTAGTCGAAAGCATGTACACCGTTTGGATACCGGTTTGACAAGCGCTTCACGCAGAGCCGGGCTCAGGTTTTTCTCGTATTGGTTGTTACTCGAACAGAACGCAAAATTTACTTTCGGTTTTAATTAAAATGTTGATTTTCATATTACAATGAGATGTATAAATGTTTATTCTGAATTGCATCTAGGAGATAATTCTATTTTCTATTGATTTACACCGGAAAAAGTCACAGGTTTTTAGGGTTCATTTAAATTTAATGATTTATAAAGGTTTTATTAATTTGCAAGGGTGATCGTGTGTTTACATTTTGGAGTCTGCAATCTTTACTTTATTGAGACTTGATGGTATACGGTATTTTTTTCATATACGTTAAAATTGTTTGAAAACCATTTTTATCGTTGTAACAGATGTACAATTCGTGTTTAAATATTAAAATAGTTTTGGTAGAGTGTTTACAGGGGCGTATCACGGGGGGGGGGGGGGCAGGATCTGACCCCCAAGCGTCTGTGCACTGTACCTCTGCTCTGGCATGTACAGAAGTTATCAGTTCCTTTCGGAAGTGAAGGCAACTGGTACTGGTAAACTGGTGACCGCATGCCCAGGTACGATGCTGTGGCTGAAAACTACACAGCTAACTTCACCACCACCACCACCAACAACAACAACCTTTATAATTTCTAGGGAAAATATACGCCTGATTTATATTCATTTACTGACTGGACTGACTGTCGTTGCGAAGAATGCAGATATACACTAGATATGGACAGGCCAAGCCAATACCCCATTCTCAAAAATAAGTCTTTCTTGGCAGCATTTAATCCAACGAAAACATAACATTTATATTTTTATTACATTCTAAGAGTTAGAGATACAATTTGTCAAGAATTAAGTATTAAAACCATACATAAAGTCGGTACTCATAAAGAAGCAGTTTTCTAAACATTGCAATATAATAAAAACAATATAAAAGCACTATTATATCGTATCTATACCCAAATAAGTAACATCGCTTCAAAAAATGATATTGATACACTTAATGAAATATTTGTAAACATATTTAATGTTTGTCAGAAGAGAGAATTGATTTTATTTGAAACAAACAACTAATTTATGATATTCATCATCAATATTTTAGTGTTACAAAGGTTACATTTCTTGAAATTTGTATTGTCGAAACCGCTATTTTAGGAACGTTTAGTTAATTTGAAATCTATCACTACTGTCATCAGTGTTATTTTATTGAGGAATCTAGTGACGTACATGGACATGAGTGTCAACTTCTACAGACAAATCAGATTCATGCAGGGAATGTTCAGCGTGGTGTGAGTGATCAGATCCAGAATGGTGAGAATCATCATGATGTGAGTGGTGAGAATCATCATGTGAGTGGTGTGATCCAGAATGGTGAGAATCATCATGGTGTGATCCAGAATGGTGGGAATCATCATGGTGCGAGTGGTGAGATCCAGAATGGTGAGATCCATCATGGTGTGAGTGGTGAGATCCAGAATGGTGGGAATCGTCATGTGAATGGTGAGATCCAGAATGATGAGAATCATCATGTGAGTGGTGTGATCCAGAATGGTGAGAATCATCATGGTGTGATCCAGAATGGTGGGAATCATCATGGTGTGAGTGGTGAGATCCAGAATGGTGAGATCCATCATGGTGTGAGTGGTGAGATCCAGAATGATGGGAATCATCATGTGAGTGGTGGGATCCAGAATGATGAGAATCATCATGGTGGGAGCCAGAATGGTGAGAGTCATCATGGTGCGAGTGGTGAGATCCAGAGTGGTGGGAGTCATCATGTGAGTGGTGAGATCCATCATGGTGTGAGTGGTGGGATCCAGAATGGTGAGAGTCATCATGGTGTGAGTGGTGAGATCCAGAATGGTGAGAATCACCATGGTGCGAGTGGTGAGATCCAGAGTGGTGGGAATCATCATGTGAGTGGTGAGATCCATCATGGTGTGAGTGGTGGGATCCAGAATGGTGAGAATCACCATGGTGTGATCCAGAGTGGTGGGAATCATCATGGTGCGAGTGATGAGATCCAGAATGATGAGAATCACCATGGTGTGATCCAGAATGGTGAGAGTCATCATGGTGTGAGTGGTGAGATCCAGAATGATGAGAATCACCATGGTGTGAGTGATGGGATCCAGAATGATGGGAATCATCATGTGAGTGGTGAGATCCAGAGTGGTGAGAATCATCATGTGAGTGATGAGATCCAGAATGGTGAGAATCGTCATGTGAGTGATGAGATCCAGAATGGTGAGAATCATCATGTGAGTGGTGTGATCCAGAGTGGTGAGAATCATCATGGTGTGAGTGGTGAGATCCAGAATGGTGGGATCCGTCATGGTGTGAATGATGAGATCCAGAATGATGGGAATCATCATGTGAGTGGTGAGATCCGGAATGATGAGATCCATCATGGTGTGAGTGGTGGGATCCAGAATGATGAGAATCATCATGGTGTGAGTGGTGAGATCCATCGTGATGTGATGAGTCAGAACTTGATGACGAACTATCATGGTGAGAACCAGAATGGTGGGATCCATCATGGTGTGAGTGATGTGATCCAGAATGGTGAGAGTCGTCATGATGTGAGTGATGTGATCCAGAATGGTGAGATCCATCATGATGTGAGTGATGTGATCCAGAATGATGAGAATCATCATGGTGTGAGTGGTGAGATCCATCGTGATGTGATGAGTCAGAACTTGATGACGAACTATCATGGTGAGAACCAGAATGGTGGGATCCATCATGGTGTGAGTGATGTGATCCAGAATGGTGAGATCCATCATGATGTGAGTGATGTGATCCAGAATGATGAGAATCATCATGGTGTGAGTGGTGAGATCCATCGTGATGTGATGAGTCAGAACTTGATGACGAACTATCATGGTGAGAACCAGAATGGTGGGATCCATCATGGTGTGAGTGATGTGATCCAGAATGGTGAGAGTCGTCATGATGTGAGTGATGTGATCCAGAATGGTGAGATCCATCATGATGTGAGTGATGTGATCCAGAATGGTGAGAGTCGTCATGGTGTGAGTGATGTGATCCAGAATGGTGAGATCCATCATGGTGTGAGTGGTCTGAGCTATCAGATGATGAACTTGAGCTGTGGGAACTATCAGAATGGGAATTATGGTGAGAATGATGAGAATGATTAGAATCATGCATATCTTCATGTTCTACTGAATGGTTAGAGTGGTGGGAATCCTCATGGTGAGAATGGTGTGAATCATTGTCATGAGAATGGTGACTTCCATCATGATGAGAGTGGTGAGAATCATGTGATGAGTCAGAACTTGATGACGAACTATCGTGATGAGAACCATGATGGGAGTGGTGAGAATCGTCATGTGAGTGGTGGGAGCCAGAGTGGTGAGATCCAGAATGATGGGAATCATCATGTGAGTGGTGAGAGCCAGAGTGTGATGAGTCAGAACTTGATGACGAACTATCGTGATGAGAACCATGATGGGAGTGGTGAGAATCGTCATGTGAGTGGTGGGAGCCAGAGTGGTGAGATCCAGAATGATGGGAATCATCATGTGAGTGGTGAGAGCCAGAGTGTGATGAGTCAGAACTTGATGACGAACTATCGTGATGAGAACCATGATGGGAGTGGTGAGAATCGTCATGTGAGTGGTGGGAGCCAGAGTGGTGAGATCCAGAATGATGGGAATCATCATGTGAGTGGTGAGAGCCAGAGTGGTGCGATCCAGAATGATGGGAATCATCATGTGAGTGGTGAGAGCCAGAGTGGTGGGATCCATCATGATGTGATGAGTCAGAACTTGATGACGAACTATCATGGTGAGAACCAGAATGGTGGGATCCGTCATGGTGTGAGTGGTGGGATCCAGAATGATGGGAATCATCATGTGAGTGGTGAGAGCCAGAATGGTGGGATCCGTCATGATGTGAGTGGTGGGATCCAGAATGATGGGAATCATCATGTGAGTGGTGTGAGCCAGAATGGTGGGGATCCGTCATGGTGTGAGTGGTGGGATCCAGAATGATGGGAATCATCATGTGAGTGGTGAGAGCCAGAATGGTGGGATCCACCATGATGTGAGTGGTGAGATCCAGAATGATGAGATCCATCATGGTGTGAGTGGTGAGATCCAGAATGATGGGATCCGTCATGGTGTGAGTGGTGAGATCCAGAATGGTGGGATCCGTCATGGTGTGAGTGGTGAGATCCAGAATGATGAGAATCATCATGTGAGTGGTGAGATCCAGAATGATGGGAATCATCATGTGAGTGGTGAGATCCAGAATGATGGGAATCATCATGTGAGTGGTGAGAGCCAGAATGATGAGATCCATCATGGTGTGAGTGGTGAGATCCATCATGGTGTGATGAGTCAGAACTTGATGACGAACTATCATGGTGAGAACCAGAATGGTGGGATCCATCATGGTGTGAGTGGTGAGATCCAGAATGATGGGAATCATCATGTGAGTGGTGAGAGCCAGAATGGTGGGATCCATCATGATGTGAGTGGTGAGATCCATCATGGTGTGATGAGTCAGAACTTGATGACGAACTATCATGGTGAGAACCAGAATGGTGGGATCCGTCATGGTGTGAGTGGTGAGATCCATGGGTTGAATGTTGTGAGTCAGGACCATGAGTGTGTGAGTGATGGTGATGGTGGTCATGGTTGTGAGAGTGTTCCTCGTGGTCATCAGTTGAATTTTCATGGCCATTTACCTCAGCTGAAAAGAGAAAATAAGAAAATAAATACTCAAATTGTAATCAAATATATGAAATTGATAAAGTAAAAATTATCATACAAATGTTATCTAATTTCGAAAAATACAAACACGCTATTGCTTTACGCAATATTGGAAGCCCCTGGCATGTGCATTCTAAACTCCCGGTATAACGTATAGTCATTCTTTTGTTTAGATACCATTTTTTCTGATACAAAAGTTTAAGCCGAAAATAACATATAGAATAGTCGCTATACAAGTGTAAAATATTTACGAAGTCCTGTAAGGGTCATTCAAAGACTTACTTTCTTTGCTAAATGCCTTGCATGCTTTTTTTTTATAATTTATACTTATCAACATGTTTAATACATGTAAATTCAAAAATAATTTATTTCTTTAATCATAAATACAAACGAATTAAGAGATAATTGCTCTGATACAGTTCAGTAGAATTTAGCAATTCAAAATAGATGACATTAAAAACAAAACAAACAAACAAACAAAACCAAAACTCACCTAAAAGGTTATCGACATCTAACGGTGCCCTTTTTTCTCTTTTGAAGGCATCTGCCACACCGGAAATATATAAAAATATTCAATAATATCTATCGTTTAACAGGTTAATTGTCCTGACAAAAAAGTACCTGACAAAAAAGTAAATATCTTAATTAAGAGTTCCTTCTCCTTTTTTAAAAAAAAAATAACAAAAGGAAAAAAGAGAAGAAAGTGGTGAAATATTCAAATTTAGTGATGCCACAACCGAGAATATAGTGCAGTGGTGAACGCCTATATGAAACTAAACCTAAATCGTTTGTATCTTAAATATTGACAATGCAAATTTGATAAATGTAGTTTACTTTGTTTAAAATTTGATAAATATCAGAATTTTTATTTCGTGTAAATAGTTGAGGGTTGAAAAATAAAAGTTGTAGTATTGTGATTTTTGGAAACGCTTTTCTGACTCTTTGTAATACTGCCCTCACACATACCTAGGACATAGAGAAAACGTACTGAACACAAGACTGCAGAGCCCCGGACCGTCTGCGAGAGAAATTTTCTGCGAGAGAAATTTGGAAATTTGAAAGAAAACCAATGATTTTCGAAAGAAAAATGCTATTTTACAAGTTTTCAGGTCGCAGTAAGGTCGTGGTTTATGTGTGAGGGCAGCATAAGTTTTGCGCCTTTTTCTCGTCTGCGGATGAACGCAAGCGGTCGATACTTAAACAGCATGACGTAACGTCTAATTAGGTTGGTTGGAATGGTGTACCGTTTAGATATTCAAGCATCAAGAAGCAAATACGCAATAACAAAATTCACAAGTTTGCAACTTTTACTGACTCAATTTAGTTACTGATAATTCTGATTTTATCATATATAAACCACCGTGTAGTCAACACATTTTTGTGGGCAAACTTTGATACCAGAGTTGCCAAAATTTAGCTGAAATAAGTTGTAACAAAGTGCATTCTTTTTCTTCTTTTTTTGCAAATCAGTACTTTTCTTTTCTTCTGGGTTTCGCGTTCATTTTCCTTGTTAAGATTATTATTCTTGTTTACTTGACAATGTTTTTAAACATTTGGAGGTGTGATACTTTAAAATGAATCGTAAATAATTTATTTAAAAATTTGGAGGTGCGATACTTTAAAATGAATCGTAAATAATTCAAATATTGGATCCTACCTTCAACAGCTGGTCTACACAGCACTGTTGTCACCAACATACAACCGACAGCTAACAACAGCAGCTTCATCTTGTCCTGAAAACAACAACAACAATTATAAAAATAATCATTTGTGTTGATATCAACATAAACACTTAAAAGCTGATTGATTCACATATTCGGAAATGTCTCATCTTTCTCCCTTACAGCAGCATGCCTCCACATTCATGCTAATTTTCACGAAATTTTAAAAATGATTTAAAAAGTAAAGTATTGTCATGCAAACGGCACTTAAAGACAGTTAAAGTGTATAAAGCTATATATCTGCTGCAAAAATTATTATTTGCATTTTAAAGAATACATCCAAAATGCTCATAATTATGACATAAACATGGTAGTTAATTGCCTTAAAAACGAATGGGGCATGCACAGAATCATTGATAAACGGAAAAAACGACTTAATTTAGCAAATAATATTTTATTCGGAACATTTTATTCTGTTTGTGTACAATATTCATGTGTGTTAAATAACTGAGACATTCTTTTTATCAACATTTTCGGGAATCAACCATATAATAATGTAACCAATATAATTTTACTGCTGATAGATTTTATAAAAATATTTCATTAGAGAAAGATTAAATCTACGAAAATTACAAAAATAAATAAATAAATAATAATAAATAATAAATATATGGTGACTAATATTGCAAAATTAGTCATTAATTGCATATCTGCATATCATGTTAATTATTTCTTGAATTGTGAATAATTTTACAGTTCTTAAAATCTTAATGAATTTTTCTCAAGTTTGATCATCTTGGGGAGTTAACAACTTAAAAAATTTCTGAGACAGTGACTTCAGTATAAACAGAAGGTGTGACTTGAAACACTCTCGCAATTTTTGTACAGAAGCGATCATCATCACATAAGACTAATTTGATATTAAGATTGTTTTTATTTTCTATAAAAGTACAATAGTGTAACGGGTCCCGGTCTTGATATGGGTGCATTTTTTTACTTTTGTAGGTAAAATAATTCTCAATTTGTCACAGCCTAATAGAAGGAAAATAATTAAAGACAAATGTATTTAAACATGTACGAAATATCAATGTCTATAATCAAAGAGAAATGCTTAAAACTCTATACATGATCATAATTTCTGCTGCCAACAACGTCTTGAAAATAAAGCATACGTTTTTAAGAACGATTGTTAACTGTTGTTTGTGCACATTATGCCCATACGAGAGTATATAGTTAGTGAACATGTGAATATATAAATAAGTTTTCATTTTGCAATAATTCCTTTTGATTTAATAATTGACTTCGCAAAACAATAAATAACGCACGGATCCTAAGGAATTTTCTGTAAATATCCATTAGAATTACATGTAACGTGTACCGTTCAGTTTATGAAAAGAGGGGGGCAGTCTTTTTATATTTTAGGCAGATTTATAATTTTATCCTAAACATTTTCAAATATCACCTGTTGGTCAAACACCAGTTTAACAGTCAATCTTTTGAAATATAAAGTCAATTCAATTCAACTTGACTATGAAAATATGAGCATAATGTCACATTAAGCAAAACAAAAAACAAACTACTCCAACAACATTTTAATCTAAATGCAAAAGGCTCTTTCAAAAGTTGCAGAGCTTTAAAACATACAGATAACAAATAATTATGTTACGCCTATCATATACAATGTATATATACGTATGCTTATTTGAGTAAATAGAAAAAGAGGGTAAGAAATCAAACTTACTTTTTTTGTAGTTTAGTATCTAGGAGTCCAAGTATGATAATACCAGTTACTCGCTAGTATCGAGGTCTGTAATAAACTGAGACGTCATCAACACGAGTCTTTTATAGTCTCCTAGTTTCAGCCACATGGCACTTGACAAAATGTTGACTTAAGCAAATGTCAAGAGAAAGTACGACTAACAATATACATGTAGTTTGGTAAAAAACTTAGATTTTGGAACGCTGTTATTAGTTCATAAGTTCAACGGCTAGTCAAATTAGCTTACGTATTTTTTTCCACAAGTATTGCATTTTTAAGACTAGCTAGAGATACGGTATGTTACTTTCCTAACGACAATAACAAAAACAACAATATATTGTGGTATGAAAATTATCATATTTCACTCATATTTATTTTATACGACTTGATGAAAAAAAAATCTGTATTTATGGATAAACATTTTAATAACTTTCATGTATCTTTTGGGTGTGGTGGGGGGGGGGGGGGGGCAAATGAGTCGCGTGCATGCAATGGCGTCATTTTATAGATAAACCGCGTTAAATGACATCATTTTGGCGTATTTAAGAATGAAACTACACTCTTAGGTTGACGTTATTTCGTCGTTATGAATGAAGTTGTAATGTTCATACGTTGTTATAAGAAAATAGTTATGGGTGGTAATGAAAGAAATGTCTAACAAAAATATCTCATTGAGGTTAACCATTTTGAATGAGATAGAATATGGCAAAATATGCAAGAAAAAATATCTAACATCTGTTTGCGGTTCAGATCTGAATATCCGTCGAAATTCGGCATGTCTCGTTACCGCCCAAAGGGCAGAGTACGCTGGGGACGAATATTCCGACCAGAACAGATATAATTATTATAGAGAAAAAGTCAATATATGACGGAAGCGTTGAAAAGAAAAAAAATGTTAAATTTTTATGGAAAACTCAATTTCAAATTGCAAAGAGAAAAAGTTAAAATTGAACGGAATTGTTGTACATAAAGAGAAACATTAAAATATTAGGGAAGCGTTGTAAAGAAATAGAATTAAATGAGTGTAGGCTCAATACTGAATTTATTGAACGATTTGAATTCAATCATATTATGCGAGCCTTTGGCGAGCATAATATTGTTAAATTCAACGAGTTCAATAAATTTCGTACCGAATTTGCACGAATATAATATTCTATTAAACACATACCCAAAATTATAACTGTTTACAATGAAAAAGAATTATTCTTTCATTAACGCGCCTATAATGTAGCCTAATTAATTTGGCGTGAACGGTTTGACCCATTTTACAGACTTTGTTTTTTCTTACTGTCAAACGGAAAAAGACAGCGCCCGTCCAAAATTATCTCGGTGTCTCTTTGACAAGTCTAATTAGTTGGACTACCTATAATGTAAAGCTAACATTTAGCGCTTTTATACGGAATTCCATAAACGACAGCCTACTGTTTACTGTCAACTGCCTACTGTCAACTGCTTACTGTCAACTGCCTACTGTCAACTGCTTACTTTCAACTGCTCAATGCTTACAGCGACTGTTTACTGTTTAATGCTTACTGTTAATTGATAAATGCCGACTGTTACACCTGTCTAATACCCGATTAATTGCCTGAAAGTAAATGTTGGCTTTTTATGTCCTTCTTCCAATGTGTTTATTTGTTACAATGAGGCCGTTTGAAACAGTATTAGTCAAGGAATTACTCTGTATCATTTATGAAGACTTTGACTGAAACCTTGGAACTTGTTACATTTATACATGTACATGTATAATTCTCGTTTTACTAAGCAGAAAAATAAGTATATATCTTTGCAGGCATCTGGAACTTTTCCAAATCATAGACCTGTAAACTTTATAAAAATGTTATCAAACCAAATATTACAAGTTTGTCTGTCATTAAATCTTGTTCGGTAATTTTGAGCTAACAAATATAACTGCTTGCTTAATAATATTACATATTAATACATGTTTATCCCTGTTCAAGCTTAGATACATCTAACATATAACATGTATATTATATTATTTGTTCAATGATATTAACCTTACCCTATAACTATAGAGCTTAATGATTTTTTTAAACGGAGGCTTTGTAATGTCATCACAACGGTCAGTTTAATGTTCGTATTTTGAAAATAATGCTATAATGTTTTGTTAAAAAAATAATCTAGATAATGAATGGTGCTCAAAACATAGATATATAGATTTTCAGACACAATTATATATATCAAAGCACAGAAGGCGCTGAATTTGTTTGGGTCTCAGAATGTCAGAAAGGTGAGGGTTGTGAGGTTATAAACCAATTTGTTTTTGTATAGCAACCAATGCTTTCCAGCGTTGTGACGACCCAAACAAATAACCAGTAACGTCTCGAATTACCAGTAGTTTATTCTGATAAACGTTAAACGTACTGGGAGAGTATACACACTTCATGATCCAAATCATACATGGAACCGTTTAGTTCTATCTAAAAAAAAGTTCATACTTGTTCTAGTGATTGTAGACCGTACATGTATAACTTAATTCTACAAAGCCTTAGATTTGACTAAAAAAAATGTTTCTTTAGTAGATGTTAAAAACTTATTCGACAGATGGAAGCATGATGACTAACATGTCAATTATTGTGTTATAATCGGAAAGTCGATGCATAATAAAATTATTGAAAGCTCTTTGAGTGACTTGGGCATTATTAATACAAAGTGATGTTAGTATTTGTTTAACGATATGATGAACTGCGATATCCTAAATTTGAGTCAATGTAATGCCTTTCGCATGTAACCAGTATTGCCTCTGTTATATTCTAATTTTTATAACTTATGATAAAGGCATTAAAACCACAGGATAGAAAACAGACTAATCAATATATTGCTGTACGTCCGTAATTTCATTTCATTGTCTTAAGAAAAGAGTGTTTATGTTAACTTGTAAAGCTGTTTTGAAAAAAAATATTCAGATAACTTGCCAGACATTGGAGCTTCAGATGTATTTCTTGTGAAACTAATAATATAACGTAATCTTGATCTTCCTAATGCATACTTTTCGCGATCCCATGCATTAAAAATTTATGGACTAAGACACTGTTTAAATGTGGACAATGTTGGGGTTTTTTCCCAAATTGGTCATGTTACAACATTCAACAAACAAACTTTGCTTTATGGTTAACAAATATATAACCATTTTCAATTCATTTTGTCATTACATTTTTGTATTTTGTTTTCCGGGGGGGGGGGGGGGTAGGGCTAAACATAAACAAAATTAAAAGAAAATTATGATATTTTATTTTTAAAGAATTTTTTTATTTTCGATTAAAACGAAAACAAAATACACTTATTGATAAAAACA